CCACTGAACAAACTTCCTGCAAACTTGCATTGCTGTAGACCTGACAATACTTAAAACTCAAACCAAGGCTGAAAGCTACAAACTGTACAGGAACTTACTCTATGAAAGGTTGAATAAGAAATTCTGATTTTATTATATATTGTGTTAACTGAAATAATAATACATACCAAGACCGACCATATTTTAAGACATACATAAAATGAGAATTCAGATTGAGTGTCCAGCGTTAATGCTGCATTTCCTAACTGCTGAGCCCTTCATTTTTCAGTTTTACATGGCTGATCAAAATACCATCAGTAGTATCCCTTCCCCGATGCTGCAGGGGAACTTCCTCTATAGGGGAACTTCTCCTGAAGTGTGCAGAGGCTGGAGCTGCTGAAGGAGAAGTGACTTGTGAGCAAGGTCCCTGAAAAGGGGTGGGGTAGTGGGGCGGCAAGGGGGCATAGACAGAAGTTGAATGGCAGAACCCAATCCCACAGTGCCTAAGACCCATTTTTCTGTGGTTATTGTTTCCCAGGCCCTGTAGAAGTGAGACTGCCTGTCCCCCAGTGAGAGAGAGATGGTTGGGGAGTTCACAACTGGAATGCTGCTCTTGATATGCAAGTCAAAATGGGTGCTTGCTCAAAGCTGGCAGAGGACAGGCTGGCTGGTTAAAACTGGACCCAGAAGGCTGTAACTTGTGTCCCTTCCTGGAGTAGTCTTGCTGCCTAGCATGGTAGGACAACTACTGGCACCATCACTTCAAGCAGTATTGCTGCTGTTGTTGCAGACTTCCATAATGACGTCTCTTTACAGTTGGGGTATAAACCCCCAATGAATGCAAAGTAGCACGGGAGTCCTTAAAAGAATGTAGTGTCTTGTCAGCGCTCTCGGAAATTCAAGCCCAACCATTGAAAACTCTATGGCCCTCAAGGAGTTCTGCAATCACAAAGCCCTTCTCATAATTACAGTTGAGGCCAAGTCTGCCACATCCAGTGCTGATTGCAACAATGTCTTTGCCATGAGATGACCTTCTGCAATTAACCCCTTAAATTTTACCCTGGAGGATTCTGGGAATTTATCAATAAATCTGGGCATAGCTCCCCACTTTATGAGGTCATATTTAGATAACAGCGCCTGCTGATTCACAGTGCACATTTGCAATGATGAGGTTGAATACATTTTTCTCCCCATCGAATTAACCTCTTAGGCTATGCCTACACTGGCAGACTTTTTTCACCGAAAATTTGGTCGACGATCAAAAAGCATTTAAAGAATATCGTTGCATGTTCACACTGTCTTCCTCTGTCGGCATAGTGCGTCCACACGTGGGGCGGTTGCATCAACAGTGAGAGCAATATGCTCTGGGTAACTATCCCACAGTTCAGCTCTCCATCTTCTGCTGCTAGGTGTTGTGGGAAGGCGGAGCAGATCGCAGCACATCATGGGTCTAGGCTCATTGTCCCATGATGCATTGCTTTCCGTCCAGCATTCCATGTGCTTCCATCTTCAGCTCATGGCATTTTTCAATGTCCCTTGTTTTCTGCTCGCCCCGCCATCTCTGTCTGCAGGAATGGATCCTGCGCTGCTCTCCACTGCGCTGCTAGTTGTCAGGAGCACATCACCAATGGCAGTGGAGTTAATCTTGAAGCTGTGAAGGCAACAGGAGTTACAGTTACCTGATGCGCTGTCCGACATGGATAGAAGCAACATTAGATTGCTTTTGGCATTCATGAACCAGCTGAACACGGGGGAACGTCACTTCTGGGCTCAGGAAACTAGCATTGAGTGGTGGGATTGCATTGTTCTGCAGGTCTAGGATGACGAGCAGTGTCTGCAGAACTTTCGGATGCGGAAAGTCACCTTCCTGAAACTATGTGCTGAGCTCGCCCCAGACCTGCAGCGCAAGGACACCAAGATGAGAGCTGCCCTCTCGGGGGAGAAGCACATGGTGATCACAGTGTGGAAGCTGGCGACGCCAGACTGCTACTAGCTGGTCACGAATCAGTTTGGAGTCAGGAAGTCAACCGTTGGGGCTGTGTTAAGGAAAGTGTGCAGGGCCATTAATTGCATCCTGCTGTGAAAGACTGTGACTCTTGGCAAGGTGCGTGAAATTGTGTATGGCTTTGCAGAAATGGATTTGCCTAACTGTGGAGGGGCGATAGATGGCACGTGTATTCCAATTTTGGACCTGGACTATCTTGTGATGGAGTACATCAAACAGAACAGGTACTTCTCCATGGTTTTGCAGGTGCTTGTCGATCACCGCAGACGTTTCACTGACATCAATGCAGGGTGGTCTGGAAAAGTGCATGATGCATGAGTCTTTAGGAACACCAGCCTTTACAGAAAGCTGCAAGCAGGGACTTTCTTTCCAGACTAGATCACCACCATAGGGAATGTTGAAATGCCCATAGTGATCCTGGGAGACCCAGTGTACCCCTTAATGCCATGGCTCATAGAACTGTACACAGGAAACCTAGATAGCAGTAAGGAGCGGTTCAACAATAGGCTGAGTAGGTGCAGGATGACCACGGAATGTGCATATGGCAGATTAAAGGTGTGCTGGTGATGCCTTTATGGCAGATTAGGCCTCAAGGAGGAAAATATTCCCATGGTCATAGCCACGTGTTGCACATTGCGTAATATTTTAAGTGCAATCTCAACATAACATCCTTAATTATGGAAGCACTGCTGTCCCGCATATACTTCAGGAAAACCTAATACATTATAAATTTTAGCATAATTCACCAGGGAGAAAATCATGGCTCCACTGCATTGTCAATGGCAAAACTCCCATTGACTTCAGTGGAACAAAGAGTTCACCTGTTATCTTTAATTAAAGCTCTAACAAGCATTTATTCTTTACTATTTTCAATTTAGTGTGAATTTCTTCATTTTATTTTTTTCTGCAGGTTGTTTACTTTTCCAGTTCAGCTTACTTTAATGTTTCCCTGTCAAGTTTGTTCTCCAAAGAAATTAAACTGGTTTATTTAGAAAAAACAAAAACCCACCCACCAGCAATTTGAGGGAAAGAAGCTCTCCAAATTACAAGAATTGCATCAAAGAACTATTTCCCCTATTATATTTAGGGTTAGTTTTCAAGAAAGACTCCTGCCAACTTTTAATCGGTGAAGCCACCAAAAGGCTTTTCCAAAATCAGATAGGGCCAGTTTAAATAAGTAAATAAATAAAAAGCTTATGAGGAGAAATATTTCAAGAAGAAAGTCCCACAGTAGCAATCTCAACATACCCGAGAGCTTCATCAATGTGCAATTTAAAAAATAATTCAGAGAATCAGAGAAAGGGAAAAACCCAGTTCCCTCTTTCCCACCAGGTACAGATAAAGCCAAATTTCAGAAGCATATTGATTATAAGTAGGAATGTACGGAGATGAAGCTTTCCCGAAAACAGACAAGACTAAGTATGCATGGTCCTGTGACCTCACCTTCATTGGCAAGGCGTGGGGCATAAATGGGCTCAGGCACAGAATAAGCCACGCTGGTTTTGGGAAGTGTTTAGGAAAAAGAATTGCTAAGTTACAGAAACTTTTGAATGTAATTAATTTAATCAAAGTTTGATAGCAAAATGCGACTTCCCTTTTGCCACTCTCCCACCTTCACCCCACTTGCCTTTTGTGATAAATGAAGTGTATGTGTGTGGGGGTAGCTCCCTTTGATGGACAGCCAGCCAGCCAGTTAGCTGTAAAATCCCTCTTGGTAGCTGTTCTCTACTTGCTTTACCTGTAAAGGGTTAAAAAGTCCCCCAGGTAAAGAAAAGTGGGCACTTGACCAAAAGAGCCAATGGGAAGGTAGAACTTTTAAAACTGGGAAAGAAACTTTCCCTTTGTCTGTTGCCCTCTCTGGGCTGAAGAGACAGGCAGCAGGAATGCTGTGTCAAGTTTGAACCAGATATAAAAAACATCGGATTACATCTAGAACCACTTTTAACAACCCAAATATGTAAGTAAATTAGGAATGTTTAGGAAGACGCGATTAGGTTAATTTCTGTTTATTTTTTAAGGCTCGTGAACTCCTCTGTGCGAACCCCGGATGCTTTTGTTTGCTTGTAACCTTTAAGCTGAACCCCCAAGAAGCTATTTTGGGTGCTTAATTTTTGGAATTGCTCTTTTAAAATCTACCGTCTAGTTCCAGATGTATTTTCTTCCTTTTTGTTTTTAAGAAAATTTACCTTTAAGAACAGGATTGGATTTTTGATGTCCTAAGAGGTTTGTGCATGTTGTTTGATTAGCTGGTAGCAACAGCTAATTTCCTTTGTTTTCTTTCTCAGTTCTTTCCTGGAGGGGGGGTGAAAGGGCTTGAGGGTACCCCACAGGGAACCTATTCCTATTCCCAAGTGCTCCTTCCTGGGTCCAAAGGGTTTTTTTGCATTTGGGTGGTTTACTAAGCCAAGGTCAGAGAAAAGCTGTAACCTTGGGAGTTTAATAAAAGCTTGGTGTGGCAAGTATTAATTTTTAAAATCCTTGCGGGCCCCCACCTTCTGCACTCGAAGTGACAGAATGGGGATTCAGCCTTGATACCTTTATTGTAATATTATACCTGCCAAGATCTTCGCTACAGAAGACAGTGAGCTGGGACTCATTTCTTCTAATCCCAACTCTTCGCTACACTACAGGGATGGGAATTTACTGTATGTCTACATTGCAATTAAAAATCCGCAGCTGGCCCCTGGCAGTTGACTTGAACTTGCAGGGCTTGGGCTAAGGGACTGTTGCAGTGTAAACATGCAGGCTGGGGTTACAGCCTGAGCCAAAACATCTACACCATAATTAAACAGTCCCTTAGCACGAGCCCTGCAAGCCCGAGTCAGCTGGCATGGGCCAGCCACGGGTTTTTAATTGCAATGTAGACATACCCTTAAATTACAGCCCCAACAGCCAGATGACCACTCATCAAACCCCCTTGATTTAAGCCCTGGGTTTTGTCACAAATCACCCATTTTGTCTAAAAGATCCCTCTGTGATTGAAGAGTACTGTTTTCTCTGCAATCCCACACAAAGATTTACTCTCAATCATTTTTATTTTACTTGATACAAAATATTAACATTACAAAAGGTGCATTTTATGTAAAATCAATCAAGGGCTATTACATTTTCTCATATGTTAATTCATGGCCACATATAGTACATGTCTTTTTGTATGTATCTTCTTGAATGTTTTCTTCAGGTCCGTACTCATGCTGGTGGGAACTTGTTCCTCTTTTCCACACACTGCTCCTAACAGCTCGACGGAGCTCTGATGAAAAATGTAAACCAAGTCTATGGTAAGTAAATGGTAGTTATTTAAAAAAAAGAGTCAGCACTAAAGATAAACACCTTTGGGAAGAGAACAAACAAAAGGGAAGGGATAGCTCAGCAGTTTGAGCATTGGCCTGCTAAACCCAGGATTGTGAGTTCAATCCTTGAGGGGGCTATTTAGGGAACTGGGGCAAAAATCTGTCTGGGGATTGGTCCTGCTTTGAGCAGGGGGTTGGACTAGATGACCTCCTGATATTCCCTTCCAACCCTGATATTCCACAACAGATTAAGGGACAAGAAACTCAGTATTTAGGGAGACTCACATTACTTATGTATTCTGAGAGAATGTCTGTTGTTTCTGAAACATATCTAGAGCCAAATTCTGATTGCCTTATTCATGCAAGTATTGCCATTCAAGCCACACGGACTACTTGTATGAAGAGACCACAATAGCTCTGAAAGAGCATTCGGGTTAGTTATTCTTCCAAGTTTATTATTGAGGCTGTGTGGTATTTTTTTTGTAATAAAATAGGTGAGGCTATGTGAAACTAAACATAGGAGTCCTCAAAGCTGCCAGGTGCCCAGGGTTTAATTTTGACTTTTTTGATTTACAAAACCAAGATGTGATCTCATATGCCAGACTTGGTTGTGAGTATTTGAGGCCCCATTACCTACCTATAAAGTTTATTCCTGGAATTACTTAATTTGGTAAATTGGAGTTAAAAGGAGTAATTTTGTAAAATTCCTCATCACGCCTCAGTCCTGACCTATAATACCTCTTATCCACCTCAGGACCTCTGCATAAAGCCTCAAAATTAGAGATACTGTAAAGGAAACCCAAACATGCCAGTATAGCCTTTTTCTTATTATACTGCTATTAAGAAGCCTACATCACTATCGTCTCATTAAAATATATTTTCAAACTGGATCTCTGTTATTAACATCTTTCCCCTCGATATTAAACTGCAAGGTATTCAATTTATTTATCTAGAATGACAATGCAGCCGAGTAAAAACTGCAGAGCTGAATGTTCTAAATATAGGGAAGGAAAGGCATGTTGTACCTTACAGATTAAGTTCAGCTTTCATATACAATCAATTCCCACTGATATTGCTGCATGCATATAAGTAATGGCAAAAATAGGCTCCTGGAGACAAAATACATGTTCTCATTCAAACAAAGTGAGGAAAAAGTTATTTGGATAGGCAGCTTTATGATATATTGTGGGTGTACATCAGGGAACATAAACAAGACAACAGTGGTACCAAACTATCAAAGTTGTGTCCACATTTCTAATGGTTATGAAAATTTTCATCTGGCCATATTATTAAAGTGTCAGTTTCCCACTACATCACTAGACGTGGAAATAAATATGAATACAGACAGACACTACTCTAGCTGAAGCTGTAGTAAAAAATTATTTACACTAATTCTCCATGTCCAGAAGCAAATAATTACTACCTGGTTTTATTTGATAGCCTATAAAAAATAAACCTTAAAAAAAAAACTTAGTTGAAATTCTAACCATTTACCTTTAACTTTTTTATCAAACTTTTTCTGTTTCATCTTTTCTCTATTATCTTGGCGGGTTTCTCTTGCTTCTTGCAACGTTTCTTCACTACCCCAAACTTCAAGCGAACGTTTTATTACCTACGGGATAGACCACAAGTGTATTCCTTTTTACCCTGAAATGATAAAGATAAGCTGCTCTAGTTTAGAATAGAACTCTCCTTTACACAATTTTATTGTGTTGCTATATCCCACCAACAATCCCTCTTCCATCACCTGGCTAGCTCCCTCTTTGCCTGTGACCCTTGTGACGGCAGTGTGTGGAGTGCACACCCTGAAAGAGCTGAATTAGGCCAAGTGGGCCCAATCATCCAATTAAGCTGCACAGAGGGGAGACTTAGGCTATGTAGAGCAGGGATGGGCAAACTACGTCCCGTGGGCTGGATTCGGCCCGCCAGCCTTTTTAAGCCGGCCCTTGAGCTCCCGCTGGGGAGCGGCATCTGGGGCTTGCCCTGTTCCAGCGCTCCAGCCAGGGAGCAGGGTCGGGGGCCACTCCACGTGGCTCCCGGAAGCTGCGGCATGGCCCCCCTCCAGCTCTTACGCGCTCCAATGGCCCCGCTCCAATGGGAGCTGCAGGGGCGGAGCCTGCCTGGCCATGCCTCAGCGTAGGAGCTGGAGAAGGGATGTGCCGCTGCTTCTGGGAGCCATTGTGGTAAGCGCCACCCCGAGCCTCTCCTCATGCCCCAACCCTGATCCCCCTCCTGCCCTCCGAACCCCTCGGTCCCAGCCCAGAGCAGCCTCCTACATCCCAATCTCCTTATTCCCAGCCACACCCTAGAGCCCAAACCCCCAACCAGAGCCCTCACCCCCCTCACCCCGCCCCAGCCCAGAGCCCTCTTCTGCACCCTGAACTCCTCATTTCTGGCCCCACCTCTGAGCCTGCACCCCCCAACCAGAGCCCTCATCCCTTCCCGCACCCCAACCCCAATTTTGTGAGCATTCATGGCCTGCCATACAATTTCTATTCCCAGATGTGGCCCTCGGGCCAGAAAGTTTGTCCACCCCTGATGTAGAGGGTGCTAATTAGAAGGAAGCTCACCTATAAAGCCAGGAGACTGGCAACAGGGAGGAACCCTGCAGTCGCTCTCCCTGCCGTAAGGGAGAAGGAAGGGGGAACAGGAATCTGTGAGGAAGGGTTTATCGAGTAGGCCTGAGAGAGATGGGTCTGACTAGAAGGCTGGGGGAAAAAAAGAGTTTAAAGAAACATAGTAGGAAGTAGTTTAGGGAAGAGAGCAGTAGGCTTGGTGACGACCTAGACCTTAACTGCTTGCTATAGGGCCCTGGAATGAAACTCAGAATAGAGGGTGGGCCTGGGTTCCCATACCATCCACTGCAGATTGGTATTGCTAAAAGCAGTGAAGGGGAAGACTGCCTGAATCACTGTGGGAGTGACCATAGTCAGGGAAGCATGCATGAGGGCTGCCTGATGCTGATTGTACAGAGATTTTTGAAAAACTCCTGTGGAAGGGGAAATCACAGTGTGACCTGACTGGAGGGCTGAGTCATGAAGCAGCTGTACTGTGACTCCATGAGCGGGAGGAGAGCAACAATAGTGGAAGACTGGAAAGGGGGCGCTGAACCTGGTGGAGCTAATCCCAGAATTGCCAGAAAGGGGTGCCACCCAGCTGTGAGTAGAGCACCCTCCCACACATTAATAAAGCTTCCTTATAAAACAAAAGAGAGGTTACTTTGTTTGAAATGGATTTTCATGCATGGAAAACTAGTATTACCTACTAATTAAGGGCCTAATCCAACTCTAATTGATTTCTCACACATCCACATTTAAGAATATTAAGGCATGAATTGTTTCAGAGTAGCAGCCGTGTTAGTCTGTATCCGCAAAAAGAAGAACAGGAGGACTTGTGGCACCTTAGAGACTAACAAATTTATTAGAGCATAAGCTTTCGTGGACTACAGCCCACTTCTTCGGATGCATATAGAATGGAACATATATTGAGGAGATATATATACACACATACAGAGAGCATAAACAGGTGGGAGTTGTCTTACCACCTCTGAGAGGCCAATTAATTAAGAGAAAAAAAAAAAACTTTTGAAGTGATAATCAAGCTAGCCCAGCACAGACAGACAGTTAGATAACAAGTGTGAGAATACTTACAAGGGGAGATAGATTCAATGTTTGTAATGGCTCAGCTATATGCTATATGCATCCGAAGAAGTGGGCTGTAGTCCACGAAAGCTTATGCTCTAATAAATTTGTTAGTCTCTAAGGTGCCACAAGTCCTCCTGTTCTTCTTTTTGCGGATACAGACTAACACGGCTGCTACTCTGAAACCCACAATAAAATATCATTTGGAAACTGTACCAGGGCAACTGATTAGGGAGAATCCTAGACCTTTACCAA